GGGAGGGGATCAACGTTAGGAATAAAGAATCATGCAAAGCCTTACATCAACTTTCACGTGTCTCATTATGAATGGTGAAGTAATTAAATTAAAATACAATTACGAAATTAACTTAAATTGTTATGAAATAAAGTGCCTGGGAAAATAATTGACTTGTAAATTTAAGTAGAAGTTTCACTTATTTCTTTATTTTGTTCTACTACTGAATACGTAGTTTTATTTAGTATTGACACATTTATTTTGTCGAGAAATCGGAGCCGTGTGAACTGAATTTTTTTTCTTCGTGCCGACGATCCTAACTTCAGCAAAAACAAAACCAGCCTAATTTTTCTTTATGTGAAAGATGACCTTAATCCCAGTCACCAGAATCACCAGAAGAACGTATATGTCATAAGAACTTACCGCTTTTGTTATCCATGAGGTCATGGTAACTATCAATTAGATTGTGTACCAGTGTGGCCATTGTGTATTTTGTTTAATTCTATATCTGCAACAAAAAGAAGGAGGGTTTAGATTAATATATATATATATATATATATGTGTGTGTGTGTGTGTGTGTGTGTGTGTGTGTGGGTGTGTGAGGGTGTGTGAGGGTGTGTGTGAGGGTGTGTGTGTGTGTGTTGATCCAAAAGACCCTTCCACCCCCTCTAACTTTTTACCTAATTGAAGTAAAGATTTGAAACTTGGGGGATATTCCTAGGTCAACGGGAGCTACTTTTTGGCCCCCCTAAAATTTTCAGGGGGCCCCCCTTAGGGGGGCAACGGCCCCCAACGTTTAATTTTCAAATGGGAAGACCCCCTTTGTGATAGCTCATTCGAAAGAGCATAAAAAAAGAAAACTTTTCGCGCAAATCCGAAGTCAATATCTCAAACCGTCTCAAAATGGCGGCCGGTTAAAGTTCAAAATGGCCGAAAATTCACACCGGTTATTTGTCGATGGATTTGCGCGAAAATCGGTATGTTGGGGTATTTTGACACGAGAAAAACGAATTTGACGTTAGATTTTCAAAAAAACCAAAATTTCCAAAATGGCCGCCGGTTAAAGTTCTAAATGACAAAAAATTGATTTTTTTAGAAATTTAAGTTCAAATTTGTTTATCTTATGCCAAACTACTCTCAAATTCTAAGTCTTAGGCAAATCCATCAGGAAAAAACCGAGGTGACAATTTTCGGCCATTTTAAACTTTAACCGTCGGCCATTTTTGAAATTTTGGTTTTTTTAAAAATCTATCGTCAAATTCGTTTTTCTCGTGTCAAAATACCCCTACATACCGATTTTCGCGCAAATCCATCAACAAATAACCGGTATGGATTTTCGGTCATTTTGAACTTTAACCGGCCGCCATTTTGAAACGGTTTGAGATATTGACTTCGGGTTTGCGCGAAAAGTTTTCTTTTTCTATGCTCTTTCGATCGAGCTATCACAAAGGGGGTCTTCCCATTTGAAAATTAAAAGTTGGGGGCCGTTGCCCCCCAAGGGGGGCCCCCTGAAAATTTTAGGGGGCCAAAAAGTAGCTCCCTTTGACCTAGGAATATCCCCCAAGTTTCAAATCTTTACCTCAATTAGGTAAAAAGTTAGAGGGGGTGGAAGGGACTTTTGGATCACCCTGTGTATATATATTTAAAAAAAATATAAATTGGTTTATTCCTCGATTGATCAAAGTCGATAAACTTTGTCTGCCTGATAAAGTTGAACGAAGAAAGACATTCCACTAAAAAAGTGGACCAGACAGAAGGAAAAAAAGATCGAATGATCGAGTTGGTATGGTCTGGTGGAAATTTTAGGACTGGTTTGCAATTATTGCAGTACGTGTAAACAACGCGTAGCCGCACCCTTCATTACTTCCCGGATAAGCTAGATAGAATAACCGGTCAATCAAGAATGCATTACTTCAGAGGCTGGAATGAAAAGGGGGAACAGTCGAGTACTAATAAACGGTCTCATTTAGAATAATGGTTGCAAAAAATGTTGCATAGCTGAAAGAAAAAAATCTCTTCAGTTTTATAGAACGTGTGGAAAATTTACCCTTTTCCCAGAGTTTTAAGAATACATTTAGATTATGGGAACACTTTAGACGAAAAATTAGCAAACATGACAGTCCGGAGGAAAAATTATTTTAGTTCACAAGAACTTCAAATCTAACTATCGACACCAGAGCATGGATGAATGTTTTACGACAAAGTAAAAACAGAAGTCAGCGAATGAAAAAAATGTAATGGCTTTTGTGCGGCAACTTAAAATAGAAAGGAAACGATTGAGAACAGAGAGCCTTACGCAGCAGCAAAAAAAGAAAAGAAATAAGGGATTTTCAAATCCTCTATTATTACTTTTCCTTATCCATCCTTAAAAACTGTTTCAAATAAATTATCAAAGCTACCTTACTGTTTACGCTCTTTTCTTGCGGGCATAAAAATGGAATTTAAAAGAGGGAAATCCACAAGAATTAAAATTGAAAGTGTGACATTTGCATTGGCAGAATTGCATTTTAGTCACGCTTTTTTGTCTCTTTTTGCGCAAGATGAGTAGTGGGTTGCAAATATGGCTGCTTGTACTTCTTTCCTACGACTACAGGAGGGAGATCGTGTGTATAGAAGTATAATCTATCTTGTTCCAGATCCAAAATTGTAAGGTTATAATGTAACTGGTGGCCCGTGGCTGCTTCGCGGCCGTCAATTACTGGAAGAAACCTCAGATTATATAATTGTTAAACAACCATCCTCCATCCGGTACCACCCGCGCCCGGATCGGCCCGGCCGGCGCTCCCCGATGAAATTTGAATCAGATGGAAGGGGCTTACGGAATTATATAGTGATGATGAGGATGAGGATGGTGACGAGGATGAGGATGATCACCTACAAGAAAATCACACGTTTCCACGAGAGCAATGCGAAAAATCGCGGAATGTAAAGAAAGATAGAAGAGTCCTGGATTCTTGTATGTAATATGGCGCAACATCTGGCGAGACAATGACAAGTGTTGCTGAGAGAACCGCGAAAAATCCAGGATAAAAGGCGATCCCAACGTTTAAATACCACGAAAAATTCCCGTATCCCTGCGTAACGCGGTGCAAAAATTAAGGCGGATAATCATACTAAAACTGTAAGATTTATAGCATTGCGAAGAGATCAACTGGCGACGTTGAAATGCAAATACCGTTTAATTTTCAGGTGTCCTTAGTGTGGGTAGAATCCTCGACTTGGAGCTTAACAGAATCCGCGGATCTCAAATCGCACACTCTCATTACCCGATGAACCCCTAAAATACGAGCAATCTCACGAAGCTTAGGTCTCACGAGAAGACGGACTTGCGAGGCTTAACATGGACCGATGTAAACGGAAAAGGATGAATTCAATCGTTATGATAATGGACTGATCAATATTTAAGCGGCAAGGACACGGACATAGCAATCCCGCGATAATTCACAATTTTCGTGAGCCGAAAGGTGAGCAAAAATCGTATATCATAGCACCGTATGCCAACTACCCGGAAGAGCCGCAAAGAAATCCTCGCGGAGATGCAAAAATCCTGCTCACAGATTTGCGCGGCAACTTTTTCGATTTGCACAGGTTGGAAGTTAAATGTAGGTTTCCGCTGGAAATCAGGATGAAATGGAAGTCACGACGTAAAAATGAAATAACTTTCGAGACTCGTCTGTTGAAGCTCATATCAGAAAAAAGAAAATGGTAACAGATATAATGTTTCTTATTGTATTCACATGGCGGAAAGGCCTAGCGCGGTGGTTTTCTCAATTTTCAAAAATGATCATGTTCGAAAATTTTGAATGCTTCCATTGTTGAAAAGTACGGAGAGTTCAAAAAAAATTTCCACCGATTTTTTTTTTTTTTTTTTTTTTTTTTTTTTTTTTTTTTTTTTTTTTTTTTTTTTCTTAAGCATTAATTACCTAGCAAAAACACATTAAAAATATCGTATTTTGCGAGAATTAGAAGGCGCATCGACAAGAGGGCCGAGATGGCGTCCGAAAATATCCGTCCTGCTGGAGGCACACATCTGACCGTGCCTATCGGGTGCCGCCATCACACTCAGCAATGCGCCCATTTCAGGATGGATATTTTCGGACGCAATCTTGCCTCTCTGGGCGATGCGCATTTTCATCATAGAGGGAGCTCAAAATCCAAAACTTTAAACCTTTTTCTCGTAAAGAGCGACGTCAAAAACGACCGTTTTTTGGCACAATTTGGGCCAGCGGGGATTTTTCTGAAACTGGGCCTGAACGATACCTTATGATACCCTAAAACTATGGTTAAAATTTTAGCTTGAGTATACGAACGATTTTTGAGAAATGAGGGGGCAAAGTTGCCAAATCGCCATCATTCTGGACGGCATTTCTACAGCAAAAAGATGGGAAAAATGGACGGAAAAGTTACACTTTCGATGGGTTTCTGCTGTAAGTATTCTTATTGGGCCCTCAAGCATTTAACTGTGTTCAGTTTCAAAAATTTTGGTCGCACAGTGGTCCAAAATGGGGAGAAATCGTTGACAAAGCAGGATTCTTTGTCGAATTTTTAAAATTTTTAAAATTTTTTTGTTGAATTGTCGGTCTTCTGCAGTTTTCATGGCTAACAATGTTCTTATCGGTCCTCGATGCAAGAAATTAAGTTCAGCTTCACAAATTTACATCGCACAGTGGTCAAAAATGAGGAAATTAGTGGACAAATTAAGATCCTGTGTGAAACTTTTAATAATGAAGTGAAACTGTTGGTCCCCAGTAGAGTTTAGATCCCGGGAAAATTCTCTCAATTCTTTTTTGGACTGTTTAAATCTTTTTTTCTATTCTTTCTCCCCATTTTTCCTTCTTTTTTTAAATTTTTGAAAGTTTGCATATTTTATTGAGATAATGCTACAAAGCCTATTTTAGAACAATGTTCTATAAACAATACGGTCTGACATGCAGTAATAATTAAAAAAAATTAGATACATGAATTTTTCCGGGATCTAAACTCTACAGGGGACCAACAGTTTCACTTCATTTTTAAAAATTTTCACAGAGGATCTTAATTTGTCCACTAATTCCCCCATTTTTGACCACTGTGCGATGTAAATTTGTGAAGCTGAACACAATTTCATGCATTGAGGACCGATAAGAACATTGTTAGCCATGAAAACTACAGCAGACCGACAATTTTATTTCCATTTTTAAAAATTTGACAAAGAATCCTGATTTGTCGACGATTTCTTCCCATTTTGGACCACTGTGCAACCAAAATTTTTGAAACCGAACACAGTTAAATGCTTGGCGGCCCAATAAGAACATTTACAGCCGAAACCCATCGAAGGTGTAACTTTTTCGTCCTTTTTTCCTGTCTTTTTGCTGTAGAAATGCTGTCCAGAATGATGGCGATTTGGCACCTTTGCCCCCTCATTTCTCAAAAACCGTTTGTATACTCAAGCTAAAATTTTGACGAGAGTTTTAGGGTATCATAAGGTATCGTTTGGGCCCAGTTTCAGAAAAATCCCCGTTGGCCCAA